GTGCTGCCCCGGCCAGAAGAAGCAGCGGCGGAGCCGTATGCCGCTCGGGACCGACCAGTGCAGGCTTGTCCCATCTGAGCAGCACACAGCTCCACTGCTGCTTCTGCTGGCTGGTGCAGACTCAGCTGAGCTCCTCCCATCCCCAGCAGCACATGAGAAGCGGCCCCCTCGGGGCCTCGTGCGTGGGCGGCTGGGCCTGGAGAGCCGCAGCACCTGGGGGGAGACTGGCCGGGGGGGCAGGGACCGCTTTGCTGTGGGACAGGGCCGCTCCCCCAGGCCCCACAGGAGTAAGCAGCTCCCCTCCCCTCGCTGCCGGCTGGGGCCCATGGGCCAGCTCTGCCCGCCTCGCCGCAGCCCTGCCACCGCCACTAGAGCTCTGCGCTCTGCCACCACCGTCCCGCACTCTGTGCTGCCACTGCCGCCACAGCTCCACAGTCCATACCGCCGCGGCTCCATGCTCTGTGCCACCGCCACCAAAGCTCTGCGCTCTGCGGTGGTGGTGGCAGTGCAGCAACGGCTCTGCGGTGGTGGTGGAGTGTGGTGGTGGTGGAGTGCAGCAGCGGCTGTGCACTCCGTGCCACCACTGCCACTTCTGCCGCGGCTCTGCACTGCCGCCACCGTGGCTCCGTGCCGCTGCCACGGCTCCACACTCCGCGGTGGTGGTGGCTCCGCATTCCGCGCCAGCTCCGCGCTTCGCAGTGGCGGCTCAGCACTCTGTGCCGCTGCCATGGCACCGTGCTCGGCGGCAGCGGTGCCGCCACCACCACGGGCAAGATAAAATGGCTTGGCGGGCCGCATGGTGGCCCATGGGCCGTATGTTGGACAAGCCTGGCTTATGCCCTGCTATAGTATTCTAAAACCAGGATCAGGACTCAGAATCTCCAGACTTCTAGGCAAGGGACAGAAATTACACATAAACAGTATAAACAATAGTAAAGCAGTTCAAATCTGTAACACAACAGAAGTTCAATGCACATAAACTGCTTTCAAAATGACTGAAACCAGTTTAAGATAAACCTGGATGGATGGTGTGTCAAACTTAGGGTGCAGACAGAAGTGCAGTTCCCAGCTGTAACTCAGAACATTTTCTGCAAAGTGTTCTGAGTTACAACATTATCCTGAGCCAAATAAAAGTTCATTGTTAGTTCCAGGGGGGAGGGGAATCTAGATGCCAGCTGGGAGCTTACAGCCAGGTTCCCATAGCAAGGGCCATGGCTGTCTGCCTGTGCTCACTGTTTTCAGAATGGGAGGGGGAGAAGGCAGCAGAGGGAGCTCATTCTTGGGGCTCCCCAGTCGGTGCTGAAGGATGGGGTGGGTGAATTGGAGCCCCCCCACCACCTTGGGGTGGAGGCCCCAGTACACCCGCGTCACCCTCCAGCAGGGACTGAAAAAAACCCAGATCAAAATCCCCTCCACCCCCTTTCTCACCTCCCATTCTGAAAACAGTGACAGGCTGAGAGCTCTGCAGACACAGGTCACAGAAGACGCTATATTTTGAAACATCTTCATTTGATACCTCATGCAATGAGGGGTCAGATTCTCACCCAATCTGCTATTTTTGAAGCTGTCTACAGTCATGCACTTGTGTTCGTTCACAGCTATAAACTGCTTTATCTGGCCAGATCAGGCAAAAATTGTCACTTCTGTCTGCACACTTAACGGATTTAGGTTAAATTGGTTTATTGAATTTCTGTCCTAGATCCCCTCCAGATTCAAGTTAACTCACAGTCCCCCAGCATCCCCAGAATGCTTTGCACCTCCTTCATATGGTGGACAGGCAAGCCTTGGCCCAGTCTGTCTGCTGCTCTAGCTGAGCAGAGAGGCATGTTTAGTGCTTCCAACCTGGGCTACTCCAGGCATGTGACTTCATTTCCAGAATCAAAAATGAGTGTGTTTACTTGCTTATAGGTTCAATCTATGCATCTTTGTCTAACTTGTGAAGATTGAATTGGTTTAGCCACAGGCTTTTCTTTGACTATCTGTACTGAGCCCTAGTCTCCTCTCTTGTGTGAATTCCCTCTGTGACCATTAACCAGTTACTTCAAAATTCCTTGTTGGCAAACTGGATCATGTTTAACTGCTTCTAGTAATGACAGAGTTAGAGGGAAAAGGGGGCTAGAGGAAAGATTAAAGCTGAAAAGTCCCCCTAGTAATGTGAAGATGTAGCTTAAAAAAAAGTCAGCCAACAGGAAAAAAACTTCCCCAGAAAATCACCGAGTAACACCTATGAGTGAGATTTATCCCTGTAAGTGCTTCAGGACCTATTCTAATATTGTCATATTCCCATATCCTGAACATATGGTGAAAGGCAAACCTACTCCACTACTGATCTTCTCTACTAAACTGTTTGTAGATAACTTGAAGTCTTTGTGCTAAACTTGAAAATTAGGAGCTTGACCATGAACCAGAAGCAGGTCACCCTTTTATTTCTCTGATATCTGGATTTGAAAAGGATCAGTTGGACTCCCTGGTTAAGCTAGAGTGCCCTCAGCACACCTCTAATCTGCTCTTGACCACTTAAAAGAGCTGTTATGTTAGCTAGGGATCACTGGAGTGCAGCAGTGCTCCTCTCCTCTCTACATCTACAAGAAACCCATGTCATGCCAGGGGGAACCTTAGTTGCATGACCAATAGGGGTGGGGAGTGTGAGGGCAGCTGTTTTGGTAGGCATGCCACAAAGGAAGCCCTATGCCTTCCCTGAGTGCCACTCCAGTCCCCCTCCCCTACCAGTCTTTTGCTCTTGTGCTCCCTGCCCTACCTGCCTCTGTGTTCCCTGCTTCTTCCCCAGTCTGCCATGTGCCACCCTAATGCAACTTTTGACACACATGCCATGGGTTGACTGCTCTAAGGTACTTTCCTTGCCTGTCTTAAATTTAAATCACCAAAGTGATGCAGCAAAAGGTCCAAAATCAGGGGTCAGGCTTTGGTCTTTCATCTGGAGTTTGTCCTAAACAATGCCGTTAAATAGTTGGAGATGGGTTTACAATTATGACTAATGCTCAGAATTTATAAAAACGTTACCAACACAGAAAAAAACCACAGAGTAAGTGAAACCACAAAGAAGAAAGGGCAACATTCTGCAAGTCTCCTGCAAGTAAAATAGTCTCTAAGCCTAAGTACAGATAGTCAAAAAGCCTGAGACTGAATTGATTCAGTCTTTGCAGGTTAGTCTAAGATGCACAGATTAAATTGAAACGGAAGTGAACAGACATTTACCTTTGATTCAGGAAATGCAGCCACATGCCTGCAGTAGCTCAGGCCAGAAGCTGGGGGGGGGAGCACTAAAGTACAGCTCTCTGGCACATAGCCAGTATGAACTGTGTGTTCACTTCCTCTTCCTGCTGGCCCTGAGATCTCTGGGAGTTGTAGTTCACAATCACAGCAGCAGGACTCTGCAGGGTTGCATATCACTTTTTTCCTGCTTCCAGGTGCCTCTGGGATTTGTGGTCCACAGTCACAGCCAGCAGTAAGCTTCAGCAAAGGGAAGGGTGTTTAATCCCCCATCCTAGCCCCAGCCTCCAGCCGGGGTTTGCCTGGGGGGGCAGTCCCCCCTTTCACACTGGGTACATCCCCAGCTGGGCTTGTCCCCTCCTACTCCCTTGTCAGCCAGCCCTCACTGCTCCAGCTAGGGAGCAGAGGGGCAAGGCCAGCCCAGCTCTCTGGAAAAGACAGCACAGCCCAGTCCAGGGCTGCAAAATTCTGGGTGCCAGGTTACTGCGATTTAACTTCAATCAGGAAGGGGTCTTGGACAAAAGTTTCATAAACTGGTTTGACCCAAATCAGTTAAGTCTGATACTACATTCAACCAGGTTTATCTTAAACCAGTTTCAGGCATTTTGAAACATGTTTATGTGCACTGAATTTCTGTTCTGTTACAGGTTTAAACCAGTTTCGATCACTTAAACTGGTTTATGTGTAACTTCTGTCCCTAGCCTAAGAGTCAGGTCTTCAAGTAAATTCTCATGGTGCCTTTGACTTCCACTGAGCTAGGATAGGTAATGCAACTGGGAGATATACCTCTTGTTTTATATTTTTGGAGTAATACATATAGTATCGTGGGGTAACAGTCTAGTAACAGTGTCTTCCTGTAGAGTATGTTTTCTACTGTTTGAGGAAAGGTATAATGAGAGCAACTCTTAGATGAGGTACAATAAATAATGTATATTAAAAAGCCTTCTGTTGTTCACCTCTGTCTATCAAAACATTTGGACAAACATCAAATAAAAGACTAGTGATGACTGACTTTTCAGATCTCCGTCTGAAATCCTGCTACCTGTATTTTTTTAAGTAGCCATATTATACCTGGTGGTAGCTGGTAAATCCTGTCTTCTCTATTTCACAGGTGTCCACGGCTTTAATCTTAGTCACCTGATCCTGTCGAGCCTGGTAAGTAACATTGCATTTCCCAGAGACATCCACCTTAGAAAACAGGGAAAAAAAGTATTTTGAATGTCACCCGTTTCTCTTTTGCTCTAATACTGTTTTTGACATTTGTTTCTCTCTTTTGCTTAGGTTACTAACAGACTTGTAGGATTCTGAAATGGCATATATATGTATGGGATACTGAAAAACATCCAAAGGGACAATTTCCTGAAAGAATCTATTAACTTGTAGGGCAAACTCCAAAGGTCATTGGCATTCCCCCTTTTTGGTGCTTGTGTGAAAGGGTGAACTGCTTGACTTTCATTTGGAGTTGGTTATTTACTGTTTTGGAGATAAGGCAGCTGCTGGTTTTATCTTTATTTGTACACATTGTTTTAACTTAGAGTCTTGGATGGGCAAGGGTTATTTGTGCTGAGGCACATATGAAAATATAAAACAAAGAGAAGTGTAGAAACAATGGGGTGCCTATACAAATACTCCAACATGTTATAATTAGAAAGCGTCAGAGCAGACTTGATTAATCGAGTCTGCTCCACATTCTATATGAATGCAGTCGCTTTGCCACAGAGTCATGCATATAAGCCCCCATGGGTTTAAAAATGGTTGCTGGGGCACTTTAACTAAAGCTTATTAAATGATCTTTAGTTAAAGTGTCTGGCAGCTATCTTTAAATGTTCAGGGGTTTAACGCATGTGATACTAAAGCATTATCATTGAAGCGGCTCCTTGGGAAACACTCCAATTACACCCCCACCCCTCCAAGCACATGTATAAGCACCCAATGGACTCAAATGGCACTGTGCTGGCTTGTGCAGGTGTGTATGTGGGCAAGACTCTGGCACTGTCTGCGTTCAAAATGGCATGAATGTAGCTCAGCTGATTCTTAGCCAGAACAGCAGCTCCCTGCTACAACTCACAGCACTTTGCAGGAAGCACTACGAGTTGCAATGATCCCCCAGACCCAACAGAAGTTCCCTGATGGATCTGGGAGTTGGGGATTCCAGTTGCTTGCCGGGAGCCTGCTGCCTTGTTTCTGTAGCAACACTGCTCCCCCATCCCAGCCAGGACACTGTTTTCAGAATGGGAGGGGGGAAGGGAGCAGAGGGAGCTCATTCCTGGGGTTCCCTAGCTGGCACTGAAGGGTGGGGTGAGTGGATTGGAGCCCCCCACCTCAGGGGGTCTCTAATCCACCCACCCCACCCCTGAGTGCCAGCTGAAAAAACCCCAGACCAAACTCCCACTGCTCCCTTTTCCCCTTCCATTTTGAAAACAGTGACAGCCTGGGAGCTCCACAGACACAAGTAACAGACTGGGCTCTTTTCTGGAGCATGTTCGTCTGAACCCTCTGCAGCTGTGCACTTTTGTTTGGTCACAGCTGTAGACTACTTTCTGGGGCCAGAGCAGGCAAAAATTGTCACTTCTATCTGCACTCTAAAGCAGGGGTTTTCAACCTTTTTTTAATAAGTGTACCCCTGGCGGCCAGACCTGGAGCAGGGGGGGAGGGGACAGGGCAGCACCTGGACAGAGAGTAGAGTGGGGGAGGGAGGTGGCACACAGAGCAGCGGCAGCACGGGGTGGTGGATGGTGGTGGTGGCCATCGTGTGTGAGCTCTCCTAACCTCCCCTGCCAGTGTCTGGCCAGGCGGTGCCTGTGCATCCCGCAGAGGGGTGCCACTGCCCTCGCCCCCAACCTCAGCCCTGTTCCTGGGAGGCGGTGGCAGTGCTCAGTCTCCGCCTGCCCATGCATACCCCCTAGGGCCTTCCCAAGTACCCCCAGGGGTCTACATACCCCTGGTTGACAACCCCTACTTCAAAGTATCAAAAACATTCTAACTTGTGGTCTTTCTGTATTCTTTGCAACAAAAAACAATTGCTGTATTATTTTTCCCTAATCAAAAAACAAGTGAAAGCTCAGAGCTGTTTTTTCCAAGGGGTGACGAGTCAAATGAAGGGTTTCTTGAGTCTAATGAGAATCACTGGTGTAGCTAAACATATTATTTTAAATAGATGTAGTTAAACCACCACTAATGTTGTATGTAACCTCTTAATTTTATTTAAAATTATCTTAACAATTCAATATAATTTTGTCAAGAATCAACTGAATCAGAATAACTTAACATATCAGTATAACATCACTTAAGTTAATTTAGCTTAGTAAAGAGTCAAATTTGTAAGGGAGTTTTAAATCAAGGAAAGATTTTCTACATAAAGATTGCAGATAAGGTTAAACTGGTGCAACTTGGAACATAGACAAAGACAGTCAGCAAAAGCTCTCCAGATAAACCTCTCAGCCACAAGGTCAAATGTGAACAAAGGACCAGCCTCTGCCATGGTCTTCACTACTTTTGAAATCAGTGGTAGTCATGCATGCATTCTAGGACACCAGTGTCCCTGCCTATAAATTTGATTACCAGTATTTTGCTGGAGGCAGTACCATACCTCACGGACAGCACCTGAATGCAGCTGCATCTGAAACAAGCTAGCCAGACCTCTCTTGAGATTTTGAATTACTGAAGGTTCATTTCGATATGAGTAGACGTTTTTAACCTGTGGAGAAAAAAGCAAACATATCATAAACCTGTAGCTGGTTTTCAGAGAAGCTGTGTGTAATATCCCTTGCAAGTTGTCTTCTAGTTTCCAGGGTTCAGCTAAAAAAACAGCTTTGTGCCTATTATCAGACCTGATCCTGTATCCTCCCATAAGCAAAATGCCACTGACTACATGATCCTGTCCATAACACAAGAGGATAATGATGTCTTGAGCTCTGGCAATAGCTAACTAAAGCCTTGCTTTAATGAATATCCTTCCTGTGCACTAATGAAAGACAACCTAGAAGGGAAATGGGAAACTAAATATATCATCAGAAGTGGATCAAATTAAAGAACTATTCTTTATGAAGATGAGGGTTAAAATGCCTTGTGGCTTTACATGTCATAGTATTTATTCCCTCCATACTCCATTCTGTTATACATCCACTAGATACTGTACTTTAACTACAGGTCACATTAAGGCAGAATTAATCATAGGGAAGTCAGAGTAGGAGAGATTGTTATAACGTGTCAGGAATGCTGCAACCTTTGAACCACCATGGAGCCTTTTTCTGGGAACAAAAGACTTTGCACCTCCAGTCTTCATTCAAGGAGCTGTAAAACTGTACTTTTCCCTAGATACTGTAAATGTAATCAGTATGTTATCTTTGTGGTAGCCTTGCAGCATTGGAATAGGTATGCGTGAGGAGGCACTATCATTGTGACAGGGAATAAAGCAGCATGCAGGTTGGTAATGGTAATGCAGGTTGGTAATTCCACACACTGTATGAAAAAAAACATCCTTAATACTATATCTCAATGGTATCTGCCAACACATTGGCAAAATATTGGGCACAGATGTATTTAAACTGTGTTATGTTGATACTTTAATCTTAGTTTGGGGATGTGTACAGCTGAGAGCCAGTGCTGTCCTGTTTCTTTTTATGCATAGTTAATATGATGACAGGGCTCGGTTTGAAATGTCTTGAGCAGGCATCTGTAACTGGGTGTGCCAGACTGACAGCCAGTGTATGTGGCTGGTCCCTATTTACAGCTTTAGGTATCCTATTGAGACAGATGGTCACACCCTTTACTCAACTGTATTGGAGAGTAAAAGGGTATGACTCCTATCTCTCTTCCTTTCCCACTGCTGCATACAGCTTCCCCACATATTTTCCCCTGATGAGCACTGCTTAAAGTGTCCCTGGCTGCAGATTGGAGAGAAGGGACTGCTCACTTGATACTTTCTACAGTAAGAAAGTGGTTGGGGAGAGAATGGCAAGGAAGGAAGTGATGGTAGCCCTGGCTCTGCCCTCCCTGCTCATTGGCCAGGGAAGCTGAATAGGCACACATGGGAAATTAAGTTGTTCCACAGAAATGGAGGAGGAGTACTCCTCAGTGGCATTTTGAAAATATCTGTACCACTCAGTTATGCTACCAAGCAGCGCTGTACTTCAATATACCACATCTCACACATAGTACCTTCTATACCGAAAGTAGCATGGCTGGCTTAATGCTCAAAGCTTATTAGGTCAAGGCCACCATAGGGCTTACACAACTTCCAGTTTGGGGGATGGTGTGCAAGGAGTGGGTGTGGTGGTTTTCAGTATGGTGCTGCCAGGTGCTGTAAGTGCACAGTACAGTCATGCACTCTTGGTTGTACTTTGTCCTCTGGGTGCTTCTGTGGCAGTGGAGCTACCCTATAAGTAGGACAGATTGTAAAAGGATGATCCAGGTCTGGGCAAGGGGGAAGAGAAATGTGAGGCATGTTCACTCACACGTTTCTTGGTTTCGGGATTTTTTCCCCCTGATTTCTGGTGAAATTTAATGGTTATAGAAACCGAACAAAAGATTTTAGTTTTTTCGCACATCAAGATAAATGTTCTAATTCTTTTGGTAACCAATGGAGATGGTAGGTGCTAATGTAAAGCCAACAAAGAGTGTAGTTGTCTGAGAGAGCAAGAGATAGAGTTTGGTTGGCTCCAATAACAGGTGTAGAGTCATACAGAAGAAGCTATGCACAATGCAAAAAAAGTATGCCTCATTGGTCCTACCCAGGAACTTTGAATATTGTTTCATGTTACACTTAGCACATGCTAACTGGACTTATAACACATAACACAAGCATTTGAGCAGTGAAGCATGTGCTAAGTGCCATTGTAGTATAATAAAATTAGGCCTTTTCCAGTGAGGAGTATTTCCAGATCATCTTACCTATTATGTGACGATTGGACTGCTCCATGGAGGTAATATGATCAGGGGGCTCCAGTGTGGTGGTGGTGGGGGGAGCCCAGCAAAGCCGTATATTGGGCTTCCAGCCTCCTTATCACACTGGAGCCTTGAACTAGCAAGGCTCCAGTGTGGCTGGGTTGGGGCAGTGGGAGCCTGACAGACAGCTTTGTTGGGCTCCCTTCCCTGCTCCCTGCAACTATACCAGAGCCTTGCTAGTTCAAGTCTCCAGTATTAGTAAGGAGACTGAGAGCCTGACAAACAGCTTTGTCAGACTCCCTTACCCACCACATCAGGACCTTGCCAATTCAAGCCTCTGGTGCAGTAGGGGGCCTGTAAGCAACACTGGCTTGACATGGGAGCCAGTCCCAGCCCCTGCACCACACTGGTGCTGGTTTTAGGCTCTGGTGTAGTTATTACAATCTATATGTAGACTGTAGTGTGCAGTAATGTGTGACTTCTCAGAAAACTTTCTAAGTCACATTAATGCGTACTGTGATCTAAATACAAAGCATGCTAAGTGTAACGTGTAACTATACCCTTTGTTACATAGTCTGGAATACATTATTTTGGCACATTTCCTAATGAACTGTTTACCTAAATATAGCTGTAGCAGATTCCCTTAACACAAGAAAACAGGGGCTGAGGAGGCTCTATATGTCCTCCCCACAGGGAACACAAGTAAGGACAAATCAGTCATGCCCTAAATAAGTGTATTTTTTGTGGAAAAATAAGACAACTCTAAACAGATAATGAATCGTCAAATTTTGAAGCCTACAAGAAATTACTTGATTTAGGTTTCCTCAAGGAATATGGATGAACTTTAAAGACAAGGCCTTACCTTTCCACGGAGCAGCTGAAGAACTATTGGCCTTTGTAAAGCTGCCAGATAATCTTTTCCAATGATATTCTCTGTGTTTTTTCTTTTAAAAATGTCTTTGGCTGCTGGACGTTCATTCACATTTTCAACTTTAATATCTCTGATCTAGAAAAGTAAAAGCAAAGTAAATGAACATAGGGAGCAATCTGGCATTGGATGGACAAAATCACCTAGTTTCTTTTATATGAACCAATTTGAATGGTTGGGAAAGATAGGACCCAAGACACAGCTTTAGGCCTGACAGGACCCACCGCTGGGAGAACTGCTTAGTTTTATTCTCATTGGAGCCTCTGAAGACTGAGCGAATTTGAAAAGTTTGGCTGATTTATTTGGGTGCCTACATGGGAGCTGTTAGTTGCTGAGTTCTTTTGTAATTCTGGTCTGTGATGTTGCAGTCCTGTCCTGGTGAAGTTATAGTCTCTCACCCACAGCTCAACTGAGGCAACTACTTTTAGCTGGTGAAACTCAGGTAAAATGGCAGACCTCACTGGTGTGTGAAACTCTCATTTTCTATAATGAAGCGCACACCAACGGGAAACATTTCTCAGGCTCTATCTTCCTATCCAACAAATGAAACAGAACTTGCTAAAGTATATTTGTTGGTGTCATCTGGGGACTTTCAATATTGGTCATACATAAATAACTGTTAAGTAAAGCTGCTAGATCTTCTTAACAGACAGATCTTGGAAAAAGAATTAGAATTGGTCTACTGCGCATTAAGTGTTGCGTGTCGACATGCCTGCAATGGAAGACATATCATGGATTCAAAAATAGCAAGGGACTACTTAAATCAATAGAGGCCAGCCTTTTTAGCAGGTGTGCTGAAGATTAGCCCCACACCCTCCCCAAGTGCTGCTTCAATCCCCTTCCCCTGATGGATGTGCTCTCCACTTTCTGTTCCCTCCCCTGTGCTCCCTGCCTGATTTGCCACTTTGCTTTCTTCTTCCCTCTCTATCTGCCACTGTGCAGTCTGCCCCATCCCCAAGCTACCCTATGCCACAGACAGAGGCTGCCCATGCCCCTCGTAGCCCCATGCTGCAGGTTGGCCACCCTGACTTGGATTGCCTTTTTCACCTATAGAAAACAGAGGCACTTAACACTGCCTTAGATTTCTAGAGCTTCCCAGAGCCCAACCATCATTTCAAACATTTTGTTGTAGCACATTTTTGGTAAACACTCTCTCTACCATGTGTGTCACACAGTGGAGTTAGACAGCTGTGTAAAACGTTTTAAGTAATTTGTCTGATTATGTGCTTTAGCTTAAAAAATGCTTACTGTAATTTTGATCAACTGATCATCATCATTGTTGGGGTTTCTCCATACCAAGTTGACATCCACACCAGACAAAATACGGTAGCCTGCGCTATCCTGCAGTGATGCTTTTACCCTATCGATAAATACTTCAGTCGAATAGGTGAATTTGTATAACTTGTCATTATTTAATCTTGGTCCAGTAGTGTGCCCTGTTTGGCAAGAGGGAGACAAGAAATGTATATGGCATCATTTTAGAAATCACCACAAACCCAAATAATCTGTCCTTTTCTCCAAGAGCCATGCAAATTCAGTTTAGAATGACTAGGGCTTTTCTATCTAACAAACTATTTGAGAACAGATCTTGAAGCATACAGACCCATTGATTTTGATGGAGCTAGTTTTGTACAAAAGGTAATGAGGATCTGACCTTAGTCTTTAGGACTAGAATGCCCTTAACCCATTTTGATTGTACCCAGAGATAGAAGAAGAAATGCTTGGGGCCAGACTTTGCCCTTTGGATGTAGTAAAAAAATAATGCAAAGTGAATTGCGAATCCAAAGATTTCTCAATCTGTAAAACGGCAAACGGAAAGGTGCAAAGTACCCTGCTCTCCCACAGGAGAGAGTGTGGGGCACTTGCAATATCATATCCCTCACATCCAGCATGGCTTGGAATATAATTACACACCTTGTTTTTGAAAGGCAGAATGAAGAAAAAAAGATCTTTCCAGAGTTGTGGCTGTATAGAGCAGAGACAGAGTCTAAAGATCAGCTGACTCACTCTCTCTTTCCTACTTAACTAAAGCTGAAACCCTAGATACTACTGAAGACTGGTGTCCATGGATGGATTGATAACTTTGGGCTAAAAGAGCTAAAGTCTCCAGGGCTGTGAAATAGGGAAAAAAAAGACCAGGAACTGCTAGCAGACATAAAATTGCTTTAAGATGTTCCAATAATCAAGCCAACCTTTCAAGTCAGTTAAAAAGGAGACATGGTCATTAACACCTGTAGAGTGAAGAACAATGAGCTATTAAGTCAACTGACTCCCTGAGATGCCTGGATAATAACGTGGAGCACAAATCAAAGCAGGATGTTTCTGTTCTGGACTAAAAATCATTTTCCCCATTTAATCCACACACCCTAATTTTGGGAGGCTGATGGGGGGGGGGGGGGGGGGGAGTGCATGTTGTAGGTAAGAAAATACAATATATTAGGAAGCTCTCCACACCTTCATTCAGCATCTTCTCTTTGGTCACTGTACTTAGAACCTCCTCCAAGTGGAGTCACAAAAAAAAAGCAATGAAGAGGTGAAAACTTTGTTTTCAGTTCAGAGCATTAAACCCATTTTCTTCAAATAAAATAAATATTTCTTGGAGTTCTGACTCACTGTTATTACATTTATACAATACATTTTAAAAGACACAAAACCCTGTATCATAGATCCATGTTTCAAGCTTGGGCACTTACATTAGAGTCTCCACTCTGATCTGCAGTGACAAAAATGGGACCCATTACTCACGAAGAGTGAAGTCCCTCTTTTGCAAATGTAGGTGAAAGCAGTAGTAGGGAAAAGGCCAGGCATTTCCCTCTACCTATGCTCTATTCCATGCCCATTCCTCCTCTGTTCTCAAGTACAACCCTATATACAGATCACACATCGCACCACAGTGCCATTGTTCAGGGCTCCTCACAGCCTCAGGAGAAGCTAGATTTTCCCCCTATGGCCTGGATGTGTTGTTCATTCTGTGTGGTGCTATCATTGACTTTTATGTTGTGTTTGCCCCTTAAATTGTATGAAAAGAGGTTTGTTGCTAAAGGAATGCTGTAATTTCTAATATAATAGAGGGCTTGGTCTGTCTGTCTGTCTGTCCATAATGCTCTTGGAGCACTGATTGGTTACTGAAACAACCAATCAGAATGCTCCAAGAGTGTTCCGGGCAGGAGGCAGTGGTGGTGGCGGAGCGCCATGACAGAGGGGACAGAGCGGGCAGGGCAGGGTGTTGGCCAACGGGGGCAGAGGGGACGGCAGGGCAAGCTTCCTGCCCCCTGTTCCTGGGAGGCGGCGGCAGAGCTCAGTCCCCGCCCCCCCCTGTCATTCCTGATGGGCATTTGGCTAGTTTATACATAAATGTCCTTTACTGTGTTTATAAGGTTTTTCCCCTCTCCTGTTGCTGGCTGTAAAGTACTTTTCCACAAGAGAGAATTAACTTGGTCACAAAACAGTTGGAAGGAACGGAGACGGTGAAACTAACTATACACAAATTGCTATCAAATCCACAGGATTTCACTGGAAAAACTGAGATTTTTTGTCCGCCCACAATCTGTTTTTAGTTTTGTAGTGATCTTAATGCTGTTTGTAACTATAGTGGGCTAACTCTATTCTATCTAGACATTAACGGATGCAGAAACAAACCCTTACTGCAGAAGCTTCATTCAAAACTGTACAGCAGAGTTAAGCCAGAAAAGATAATACTGTCTTTGACAGGAGGAACGAATCTGTCTCGTTGCATGCCATGGTTTCCCATTTGATTTGATTCTGCTAAATAAATATTTCAGCTAACTGGGTCATGGAAAAATACAAGGTATTTCTTTATCCAATTGGCAGGTATTAACAAAATGTAAAATCTTATTTTTATTAAAAACACATTGATATCCATCACAATAGCATGGATTTTTTTAAGAACTGAAGTGTTCATAAATAATAAAAATCTCTCAAGACACTGTCCTAGTTTTTGGGCATATGTTTTCAAATGGGGTAAGGAGCAAGATTTATTTGGAAATATCATTTATTGGATCAACTTTATTGTTCATGGACATTTTTATACAAGATTTTGGGCACAAAATATCCCTCCTCAGATCGTTGCACTTCAGGACTACTTCAGGTGTGGTGGCCAATAGTATGCTAAGATAGCAGTATGCCTCAGTTGTTTTGACTCCTATGTGGGAAACTGCAACCACAAAGAGTCAGCTGGTGTAAACTGTTTTAGTTCCATAGACATTCAGTAGAACTTGATGCATCAGTTCAGGATCTTGCCATTCCTGGGAAGTGGACTGTTTGTTCAGGTCAAGAGAACTAGTGCCATAATAGAGCTGAAGTTTAGAGCTGTGATCTCTTTTCCTTGCTAAAGTAATAATGCTGGTTAGCACTCACTGAAATCTTTAACAAATAGAGGGTCTGCTCCTAGAAAACGTGTGACTGCTACCTGTAAAATGCACTCTCCACTCTATTGACTCGGCAACTGAATTTGGCCTCATTGGGAGATGAAAGGTTCACTTTCTTGTGAACCTGCCAACACCTTTCAAGAACAGACCCCAGTTCCTTGAAGTAAATGCTTGCTGAAGTTTTGTTTCTCATTTTAAGCATGCTGTATTTCAGCACAACCTGTGCTTTTAATTATTTATTATGTAGTTATGTAGTATCAAGTGAAATTGCAGTACTGTAATATGTCACATTCTTTCTACAGCCCTTCTTGCAATATTCATGCAACCTAAAAAGAGACAGAAAGGGCAAGGAGAGCACGTGCATGGAAAACAATTAAGGTGATGATGGACATGTCTTATTGGCTACATTGATTCTTTTTTATGTTAAATTTAATTGACTTCTTTTTCCATTCTTTCTCCACCATTAAACCCATGGTTATTTTTTTCTACAGTAATTCTCAGTTAATATACCCTTCATGTGTTTCCCTTTCAATATTTCTTCCCCTCTTCATATAAAAGCAGTTAGCTCATGCAGGAAATTAATAAATGGATTATTTGGTGGGCTACTTTAATATCATGGAGGAAATGAGGTGGGTAGGAGGGACATAAATATGAAGAGGATAGTAACTTTGTATAGCCCCTCAGAAAAGATATCCTGTGTGTAGGAAGGTAGCATAGAAGAGAGATTGTTTTCGAGGAAACAGGTAAACTGGCTTACAATGCTGACATCATCAAGGGAGAAAGGGGTTGTGGTGGGAGATGTGTTAAGAGCCTAGGGAGGATAAGTAGGGAACAGGGCAGAATTTTGAAGGCAAGTACAAGAAGTAAAGGCAAACTTATTGCAAACGTATTGCAATAGAAAAGAGAGAGCCACCAAAGGAGATTAAAGGCTGTATATTTGTAAAGAGCTTGATGCTACAAACAGAACCATTACTGAAAATACCTTTAATAAATACACTTATCATTTCCTTCACAAGGAAAATTACAGAGCTGTTTAAGGAGGAATATTTCTATTATTTGTGAGAGAGTATGTGTGTCTTGTTAAACACTGGTATTATGCTGCCCTTAGGAACTCTGGTCTATGTATCCTACACAATGAGTTGGGATTTTTTTAACCCCTTATCCTTTTTTCACTGCTGTGAGGGGCAAAACTCCTACTGGCTTAAGGAGCAGAAGGATGGGACACCCAGATTTCATTCTGCCATACTGTCCTAGAGTCAGAAATGCCTGCATGAACTATGTAGTATTCAAGGTGGAGTGCATAACACATAGTTTGACTAGTAATGTTAAGTGTCTGTCATTAGGGGTAAGATGCCAATTCTATAATTAAATTGTGATACTGTATAATACAGAAGGTTAAGCTGTATGAGCAGAGACAGCTGTCAAGTCCTGTGCCTTTTATTAATACATTTGGCATGCACAATGTGTGTCTATAACCACTAGCTGGCTCTAAGGCCATAAATTACATTTGCCAGTTCTGGTGACATTGGGTAGCTTTAAAAACCAAAACCCATGTTTGCTTGAAAATATTTTAAGATGCAGCTACAACAAGAAATGTAATATGTGCAATTAGCTGATTGATTAAATATAAAGAATACTACTTAAGTATGTTTTGGCTGGATTGAGAGACAAACATATCCCAATCCCAGCTCTGCCACTAACTATATTGTTTGGCCTTGGACAAGTTGCTTAATTTCTAAATCTTGTTCCCCCATCTCTACAATCCAGATAATGAGACTAACAGGGCTCTTTTGAAGATATATTAATCAGTTATTGCTGATGTACTGCACTAGAGATGTATAATGCTATATTTTTTGTATATCAAGGAACAATTTTGCTAAATTAATTTTACATTGAATCCAGAAACAGCAGATACCAGAATTTTGACATTTTGACATAAGTAGCTGTAGAATAAGAACGTTATTGGCAGTCCAGTTAAATTCAGCTACTCATAGAGGGGCTGTATACCACTACACTTTACAACTCCTTTGGGGGAAGGTGGGCCCAGTAGATGACCAGAAGGAACATAGCTCCCCCAAAACTGAGGGAGTTGGGCTCCATTTTAGCTCCAGCTATGCTAGTATAAAAAGGAGCAACAGGGTTCAGGTGGCAGTGAGAGGGGGGAGACACTACTGGTCTGTGCTTAAACAGATCCAGTGGCTCAGATCTTCTACTCAAGGGACAGAAAGGGATAGCAACTGTTAACCCATCCCACAGACTGCCCCACAGTCTAGCCCAAGATTGGAGGGATGACACATACACCTTTACATTCTCATCCAGGACACCTTCATTAAACTGCATGAATGAAGGTTTGTCTGGGTTTTAGGAATAGCATGTTCAGTGCACTGACTGGTGCTGCAGAATACTCTTAGTTCCCTTTCACTCAAAATGCAAACTGATTTGGTTTACAACTCTTGCAAATTTAGCCCATCTTTTACAAACAGTGGCAAAGTAGGCACACACAGCCTTTGTGGAAGGACAGTTTCCCCTGTTCCGTGACCTGACAGCATGACCCTGAAGAGTCTAGTCCCCATGTGTGGATTTTGTACCCTTGACCTTGTGCAGGATACCTACACAAAGCCCTTTTATTTAGAGCAAATGTGGGTGTCCAGAACTTCACTCTTAGAGCAGATCCATAGTTTCATAGTTGTTAGGGGCCGAAAGGGACCTTACAGATCATCAGGTCCAGCCCCCCTGCACTTGGGCAGGAAAGACTGCTGAGATCAGATGACCCCAGCAAGATGGGCATCAGGACGCTTTATGAAGATTGCCAAGGTGGATGACCGCACCACCATCCAGCTCCCAGAAAAGCTAAGGAGGGGGGGTCTTTTTCATTACTTTAATGGGAACTGGATCGAATGCATAGAGACTGATTTTCAAAGTACAGAGTCATCTGGCTGCAATCCACCAAAGCACTTCAACAAGTATGTAAATAGTTTCTTTGATGTCAGTGGTCATGCAGCATGTCAGTGGTACAGCAAAGAAGGGAACCCAGGTTTCCTGATCACTTTGCTTTTTCCCAAAATTCTGTTGCAATAATCATTGCACTAGGGGATGGGCTCCAAGGCACATGTTGACAGCCCAGAAGTCATAAATGTAAGGCCATAGCAGAAGGGGTTATGGTGCAGCCCTGTCAAATTCCAACGAATCAGCAAATTCTGTTAAATACCTTGTCACAAGGACACAGAAAGGAAAAGAAGGATCATTACACTTATTTAAGCTGCATATTTATTATTATTTAGTGCATGCAATTAAAAACCATGTTGCAGGAGAAACACTTGACATAAGGGCTTCCTTTCTATTGTAAAAATATATAAGCATACATTCACCAATATTATCACCAAAAGATTAATCAAACATGGCATAGACCTACCTTTAACAGAGGCTGAGTATGTGGAAATGATGCAGAGGAAAAGCACAGTTAGAAGAATCATGCTGTACTCTCCTTAGTGACCGAAATTGGGAATGTTAGAGCTGCCCAGGAGAGAACTCCTTAAACTGGACGGAAGTGGCAGAGAGCACCTCTGACTCTGCAACACTGTTTATCTAGATGTAGTAAAGGTCAGACTCCAAATTCCACACTCAGGTACTAAGTTCATTGAAGGTCCTGCAGTTAATTATTAAGGACTGGGGTAATTGGTGTCTTTTATCCATTTTATTGTTCAGCCCAGCTTTCATTTTTTGGGTTTTTTAAAATATTAATCTCATGTAGCCAGGCTCCTGAATGGGGCCCAATCCAGTTCCAAAAGGAATCGATGGGAATTTCTCCCACTGCCTTTAATGGGGGTTGTTTTGAGCCCATTTTGTAAGGGAGAAGAGTCTGCTACCCTCTTCACACTGCCTGGTAATCTAAGTATCCCCATCAGCTTCCTGAGGACTGCTGACAGAGTCAGGTACTGATAGTGTGAGTAAGTACAAGACACTCTGAGGACTTCACTGGAAGCAAATATAGTCTACATTTATATCTGCCTCTGAACAAAAACACTAGTATTTTACCACACACAAATTTGGACAAAATGTTGATTGCTAATTAGAGTATTTAAGCAAGAAGGTTCTATTATATTTCCATTTCAGGTAGACATTAGCCTGTCGTTAGAATGAGAGAAGCTGGAGATAGAAAGGTCTATTTGGCTGTTCACATTGTTCCCCTGCCAGTGAGGACTGTTCTCTAATTTGAATTTTCCAGTGTTTTATCAAATCTAGCTTTAAATGTCTTAAACACCTTTGGGAAACTTTTCCACAGTCTAAAAAATAGTTCCCCACTGTATGCACTGTACAAATGTGAACTGTCCCTGTTCTCAGATGCATTCCATCACGTCTCATTACTAAATGTCCTGGTACTGCCCTAAATGTTGCCACTCCTTCCTTGAGGATAAATCTCCCTCAGCCTTGTGCCAAGTCCGAGTTTCTCAGGGGTGATGAACAGAATCCTCCCCACCCCCCAACTTGGTAATGAAGTGGCAGCACTCCTCAGCCACCAAGCCAGTCTCAGAGCTAGAGGAGCTTCTACAAGACTTTCATCCCTACAGTGGAATGAGACACGTTTCTAAAGGGTCTGTGTAAATGAGATACGCCGCCCTCCCTCCACACCCAAGCCCTCCCTCTGCTGTGCCAGGGAATGCTAGAAGCCCTGCTGGAACAAAGTTCCCTGGCACACAATGAGTATCCACCCTTCTGAAAGGTCTCCAAATCATCAGTGAAATGGTGCTGGTTTCTGCGTTGTGTCCGAGTGTTCTGCAGCTGCAGAGGAGGAGGAACAATTTCTCCTCAAATGTTTATATAGTGATATACCTGTTGGCAATTACTATCTCCTCTCCCTGCCCTTGAGGTTTTTATTGAAGAAGAAACTGGGGAAAATTCACCTTCCCATCAAGCCATGTTCTATAAACAGCTGTGGCTAATATTATATGCTAATATATTGTGACATTTTGCCTTATTCCACTGCTCTGGGGCCTTTTGTGTGCCTGCCTCCTTTTCAAGAGTGTCTTTAACAAATCATTGCTCCTAGGCTGTATTTAAATCATAGTGAGAAAGCTAGTGAATTATTTCTATTGCCAAGTGTTGTGTAATAATAAAGAGCTGCAAACTCACCAGGTCTTCACCTTGTGATGCTATAAATGCCTTCTCCACCTTGTCCATTCTGGGTTCATCTACATATGAATTCATGAGATACAATAAATTCCAGCACTTATTGTGCCAGAGTTTATTGCTCCTGGGACCACAGCACATTGAGCCAGGGCAGGGCAGGGCAGCCCTGGCTGGTAGGGGCCTGGGGAGTCATCCTGCCAGCCTGGGGCTACTCTGAGCTGGTTCAGTGTGCTGTGGAGGGGCTGGCTGGGTCATGAGGGTGCTCCAGTGCAGGGCTAGCCAGCAAGCAGCCTCCACACTGAAGCACTCATTCTCCAGCCAGCCCTGTTATCATCTACACGTGTGTTGCTGCATGCTAAATAATGTTGCTGCAGGATAGTACTTATACTAACCTATGGCAGAGTTAATTAGTTTACTGTGGCCTAATAGTGTTGCTTGTGTAAATGCCGAGATGTTACTGTGGAGCTAATTAGGCAGGTCCACAGTAAATGTCTCATGTAGATGTGCCCTATGACACAGTAAGAGAGAATCCATTGTGCTCATAACAGGGAGCTAAATTGGGTGGATTGGGGATGGGACCAAGGAGCAGGATGTAATAGGTCTATGGGTGGATCTAAAATATTTAAAAGGGGGTTGCAGATGGTATGGTACATCAACAGGGATCCAGGTTTTGTGTTTCCCATGGAAAAATGCAAATCTTCTCCTTTAAAAGAGAAAATCACCAATTTTCCCTTTTAAAGGAAAAAAAACCCCAGGGAACCATGGCTTGTCCCTTACAGGCTGGCAGGGTTCCAGCCTGCAAAGGGCTGCTTGGGGCTGGGAGGAGTGGGGGAGGACAATGAGAAGCAGGGGGCCACATACATGTGCACACAGCACACATGCACATGGCCAGCAATGCAACCAGGCAGCATGGTGAAGAGCAGCTTCCACAGCTTCCTGCAGGTAAGTCTGTAAGGTGCGGCATAGGTATTGCATGGGGGGACAGGGACATAGGCGACACATGGGCAGGACTTGGGGAGGCATGTGCCCCCCACAGATTTCTGTGGTTACCATGAGGCATGGGGCTGCAGCCTGACTGGACTGGCACCAGGCAGGAGCTGGCTGCACAACACAGTGGGCAGGACTCAGCATGAAAGGGAGGAGCGGAGTGGCGGGGCTTGGTACTGCTGCTGCCACCTCTGCTGCTGGGAGCACCATAGTCACCAAGATAAGGCACCCCCTACCCAGCCAGCAGCAGCAGGGGGAACAACTCTGGGCACCATGGCCACACCACCTCCCCTTGGAGGCCATGGCACGGCTGGTGTGGTGCTCCTGGTGGCAGCATAGAATTGTGCCTCCCCACTGCTGCCAGGTGGGCAAGGGGCACCTCACCTTGGCACCCATGGTGGTGCAGCACTCCCTCCCACACTGGGTCCCACCCACTGGGTCACAGAGGCAGATCTTGCTTGGAGCCAGTTCAGCCAGGCTACAGCCCCATGCCGTGCTGTGGGTGCAGAAATCTGGGCGGGGCATGTGCCTCCCTATTCCCCTGCAATGTATCACTTATGGCATCACCCCCTGCCTCCAACACCCACCCTCTTTTCCTGGGGGTGGTGGGCAGTGGGTTGGGAGTGAGGGGCACCAGCAGAGTTAGGAAGGGTGGGGGACTGTGGGTCGGGAGTCAGGGGCAATGGAATGGACAGGGTCAGGGCATCAGCATATCAGGGCTGCTCAGCACCACAAAGCAGCAGGAGCATGAACGTTGCATGCCTCCTGAGGCTGGGGATGCATAGCAACTGCCCTTAGGCAGTGGCGTGGCGGCGGTGAGCAAGGCACTCCCACAGGCAGCCACGGCAGTGTCGGTGGCGGGGTGTGAGTGCGGACCAGCGATTGGTGACCATCTGCAGACACCACTGGCAGTGTCAGCAGCAAGGGGAGGGGTGGCAAGCAGTGACTTCTCTCAGGCACCACCAGCAGTATCAGTGGCGGCCAATCTCAGGGGGTGTACATGCACCCATGTGTACCCCGTATGCATTGCCAAGGAGCAGGGGGACAGCTGCAGCTGGACCTGCATCCCAGTAAGCAAAGTGGGCAGGGGGAGCTTTGATTTTCCATGATAAAAACAAAATCAAATGCCAAAATATAAAGGTATTTAGAATTTATTTTATTATAATGATTGAGGCACTGTAGGCCTCCAAATTGCTTTAAGGTTGTATATACATTGATAAAATATTGTGTTCAACTGATTCCTATGTACAGCGAAAGCTCTGTTATCCGGCACCCATGGGAAATGTGGGGTGCTGGATAACCAAATGTGCCGGTAATCTGAGAGGTGTCTTTGCCTGGTCAGGCAAAGACGCCCCTCCCGCCACGTCCAGCATGTCCACATCTCAGATTAACCATGCCACCCCTTCCGCCCCTCCCCTAGTGTCAGTGTGCCGGTGGGAAAAGGAGGGGATCTCCACGCAGGCTGCTATACCCTGCGCAGGCTGCTTTCCCCCGGACTGTGGGATTTGACAAAACCAGAAGTCCCACTTCTGATTTCCCTTTTGCCACGTCGACCGGCGTTAACCGGCATGCCAGTTAATAAAGCATGCCGGTTAATGAAGTGCCGGTTAATGTGGCTTTTACTGTATATAATGGTATTTCATGGATTTTTTTTTTTTTTAATCAGAGAATTTGGGATTTTTTAACAGAGAAAACCAGTATTCCTGATTTGGCACACATAAAGCAACACACATTTTTCTCCAGTTAAAAATAAACAAGAAATTTTACTAATTCTCTAGGGGCCTAGGAACTGTATTACTCAGTTTAAGATTAAAGCAAAAACAAATATAACTTAATTGGAAGGAATTAAAACATGCAGGGCTATGAAATAGCTTCATTACCAAGAACAGCTATCAGTAGGGGCTTATCGAATTCACAAATCCCTGTTTAGCCAGCGGGCAGGGGGGCAGGCGGGAGTGCCAGTGCCCCCCAGCTGCACCACTTCCGGAAGCGGCCACAGGACTTCCAGAAGTAATGCGGCTGCTTTTCAGTGAGTGTGATCCGCGGCGGGGACGCCCCCCCGGTCAGTGTGATTGGCCACCCCCCACCCCTCTGGTCACTGACTCAAGAGGCACCAGTCGCCCATCTCGGATCCAGCCCCCCTGCACCAAGCAAGAAAGACAACTGGGATCAAGTGACCCCAGCAAGGTGACCGTCCAGTCTCCTCTTGAAGATTTCCAGGGTAGATGATTGTACCACCTCTGGAGGGAGCTTATTTCACAGCCTGGATACCTTAGCTGTGAAGAAGTTTTTTCCTAATGTTGAGCCTGAAATGGTTTTTCAGGAGCTTGTGGCCATTGCTCCTGGTTTTCCCCAAGGGTGCCCCGGTGAACAGTTCTTCACCGAGCCCTTGATGTATGCCCCTGATGTAGCAGTAAGCTGCTACCAAGACCCC